TTTTCTTTTTGTTTTTCGTATAGAACGGAAATGACGTCGTCGTTTGCGGGGGGTAGAGAGGATAAAGTAGAAAAAAATGAATTAGGTTATGAGAAATATTAATCTAAAAAAATGCTATTTTTTTATATTTTTTATTTATTTTAATTTCATGACTCGATGATTGATTTTAGATAATTTTATTATTATTATCACTGTCGATATTGTCATCAATATCATTACTATTATTATTATTAATGTTAGTCAAAGTATAAGAAAAACTAAAATAAGTATAAAATGTAATTCAATAATAAGTCAAATTTTATTTTATTTTATATGAAAACGCGTTTCGAGTTAAAACAAAATATTATTATTATTATTATTATTAAACTTATTGTGATCGTCAGAAAAAAAAAAATTGATTGAAAGAACGCCCTTTGTTCTTGTATGATTTTATCGTTTTAAGTTTTATTGTAAATTTATCCTGTCTCCCCCTCAATGAAAAAATGTAAACTTTTTTTTTTCAATTTATTTATTTATTTTAATTTTATTGCATAAAATTACATGTTGAATAATAATGGGGAAAAAAAAACCCAAAAAAAAATTTAATTTTAATAAAAATATAATTTATTATTGTGAATTAAAATTTATTTATTTTTTTTCATCCTTAATGTAATTTTCTACCAAAAAAACATCGAAAATTTTGGCCAAATGTATCAGAAAAACATAATACCCAAGGAGGTATAGAAAAAAATAAAATTCAAACAATGGATTCCCGCTTAAAATAAAATGTGCGCCAGGTAAAATATACAAGGTCGTCCTACATAGCGTAAACAGTAAACAAGGTCGACCTTGGTTGAAAAATCGTGACCATGAAAAATTTCACAAAATTGAAATGTAAAACCATTGGCCTTGGATTCAAGGTCGACCTACTTTAGAATAAATCGTAAACGTTGGATTTTTACAGCAATCATTTCAAATTGCATAGTCAGTGAATGTAAGGCGAACGTTTAAAAAATCATGAGGGATAAAGAGTGAGGGGGGGAGGAGACAGAGACAAAAAAATCCTTTTTTTTTTTTTTTTAAATAAAATTTATTAAATAAATTAAATTAATTACAACGCATTTATTAAATACATTAATAATAAATTTTTTATGATTAATAATATTTTTTTAGAGGTTAATAATAGTAATAATAATAATAATAAAAATCATAATAATAATAAAAATAATAATAATAATAATAATAATATTACTAATACTAGTAATAATTAATTATAAAAAATTATGAAAGCAACAAATTCACAAATAAATAAATATTAAACTACGGGTTTGTCATAAAGATTTTGATATTTTTTTTTCGCGTTAAAAAATTTTTCACGTTTACTAATTTCAATAAATTTTTCAACGAGTTTTTTAAATTTTCCTTTTTCGTATTTACCTAAAAAAAAATTATTATCATCATCATCATCATCATCATCAATCTTTTTTAATAAGATTTCATCGCTTTCCGTTTTACTAATTTTTATAACCGGAATCTCAGATTGTGAATTATTCGTCGATGATGATAACAACGATAATTCAATATTATTATCATCGTTTTGATTATTATCATCTCCGATGAGACTATTATTATTATTATTATTATTAATTTTATTATCGTTTAATTTAGATAATTGAACTCTCGACTCGGATTTTTTATTATTATTAATAAAATTTTCCGATTTCGTTACATTTGATAATGATTTTTTTTTATTTTTATTATTATCATCATCATTCGAAATTTTTTTTTCTTCACCATTTTGAATTTTATTTTCTTCATTTTCTTTTGAAATTTTTTCACTTCCGGTTGATTTTCCAATAGCTTTTTTCATTAAACGTGACAGCAATTCTATGTAATGTAAAATATTTAAAAATATAATAAATTAATAAATAATAATAATAAAATTAAATAAAAAAAAAGCAGAAGATATTAAAAAATTAAATTATAAAAAAAAATTCACCTTTTCGATTAATTTCCTTTTTATTATTTCCTCTTGTAATTTCATTTTCATCATTATTTTTAACAAGAGTAACATCAACATCATTTCCAGCAGACGACAACGTTTGTTGCCCTTGTTTACCACCCATAGTTAATTCCGGTAATAATTTTTTCCATTTTGAGAAAGGCGTTTCCCCGCCATCTTCTTTACTTTCTTTTCTACCTCTTTTATTAACCATTTGAAACATTTTTCTCCTTTCTTCCGTTCTTTCTCGTCTCAATTGTATTTTCAAATCGTTGTTTGCTTCGCGTAAAGAATTCGTCAATGATATTAAATAATATATAATAAGAACGAGAAGAGTTAAAAGTGGTATTATTATTCCTGGAGAAGCGACGTAGTCTAAAGCCTTGTGAAGAGTTTTCGGCAATGCCTTCTGCAACGTTTTCGTAAAAAGATGGTATATTCTATTGTAGTCGGAAAACGGACCGCAATGCCATGATGGTTCGATCCAAACTATGGCAAATCCGACAGGTAAAACGCATAGAAATAACATGGTTAATAAAAGTGCCAAATAAAAATTATTCGAACGGGAAGCACGGAAAACAACCTGAAAAACAAATTGAACATATTACGAGTAAACAAAAACAAACAAACAAACAAACGGAAAAACAAATTTACCTCGTGAGGTACGTTACAAGTCAATACAGCCCAAGATCTTAAATACATCATGATAACGAGTTTGACGAGATTAATCGCTGGAAGTCCTGGAGAAAAAAACATTCCCATCCAAACCATACCTTGATTATAAACCAAGTGCAATATGTTTTCGGCTATTTTAAAATCTCCATATTGTGGAAATTTCTTTTCCAAATCCCAACACCAACACTTATTCATGACTCTTACGAATATGGCGCGAAAAAAATCAAGGAGAAGTACGGAAAGTATTGTCAACATCTGAAAAACAAAAAAAAAATTTTCCAACTGATAAAAAAAAATAAAGAAAGAAAATTTTACTTACTAAATCCATAACGGTTAATTTAACCAATTCTTGTCCGAACATTGTTTCCCAACATAAAGATCTCAACCTTTTTCTCGTTTCCATATCGTAAACCTTATTCAAATTATTATTATTATTATTATTATCGTAGAATTTTTTATGAACGCCGTTGGAAAAGTTACATTTTTTCACTAGGCAAACACTCCTTACGACGATAATTTTCTTATTATTATCATTATCATTAACATTTCCGTTATTTGTTTTCATCATTTTGTTTCCGTCGTGTGTAATATTTTTTTCAACGTTCGGAAAACCGGAAGTAAAAAATTCCGATGAAATTTCATCAAAGGAAATATTCGTGAAGGAATTTACGACGTCGTCTTCGCCGTCGTTCTCATCGTCGTTTGATGTTGTTTTCCTTTTCGATAAAGATTTATTATTATTATTATTATTATTATTTGTTTCATTAAAATAAATAAAATTAGACGTTAAAAAATTTAATAAATTTTTCCGAGATGAAAAATTCGAGTCTGATAAAGAATTATCAAAAGAATTATTAATAAATTTATGTAATTCATCGTTTGAAACGTTCAATTTTAAACTTTTCGTAAATTTTTCATTTTTTTTTTTCCTAACGTATTTTTCAACAAAACTAGAATTTAATACATCGTTATCATCTACTTCCGGTATAATTTCCGTTACGTTATCGGTTTCGTAATAATCGTAATCGTAATCCACGTCCTCGTCCTCATCATCATCATCATCATCCTCGTTTCCGTTTTCTTCGTCTCGATTAAAAATCGTAAATGATGATGACGTCGTCGTCGTCGTCGACGGATTCGCTGTTGTTGTTTTTAATAATGACGTCATAAAATCATTAACCATTGTTGTCGAATCGTTATTATTATTATTAATAAAAATTTTATTCGGATTTGAAGTCGATGATGATTCGTCGTTTTTCGTTAATATTTTCGTACAATTTTCCGGTACCATGAAACAAATCGGTTTTCCGGTTACATCAAACGTCGTCGTCGTCGTCGTCGAATAATTTAACGTGTAATTTTTTTTTATATTTTGTAATTCGATCGTCTGGAACAAATAAAAAACCGTTAACTCAACAAACAAATTTTAAAACTCTCCTCAACCTTTTGTTTTTTATTTAAAAATAAAAAAAATAAAAGTTCGGTAAAGTTCGATCACGTTCGTAAAAAACTTTTTATAATTAATAAAAAAGAAAATTTTCTTTTTGTGATTAAACGCCTTAAAACTTATAATAACGAGTTTTTCTTTTTTTTTTATATTACAATAAACTTATAAATAATTTAATTAATTTTTTTTTGAGGGGGAAGAGAGAGGAGAGAGAGGAGAAGAAAGAGGTGAGAAAAGGGAAGAGAGAGGAGAGAGAGGAGAAGGAAGAGGTGAGAGAGAGAAAGGGAGAGGAGAGAGAGAGAAAGGGAGAGGAGAGGGGAAGAGGGGGGAAGAAGAAAATAATAATAACGATAATTACCATATCGCTGATTTTCCAAAATTGTGAAAAAATCAAAGTGTATAAATTTAACAAATTCAAAACCATAATCCTGAAAAAAAAAATCATTTTGTTGGCATTTTTATTTTTTTATCGATCGATAATTATTATTATTATTATCATCACGTAAAAAAAAAAAATTTCGTCACCTCGCCAATTGTATCCTTAAACTTTTTCTAGGATGATAACCTTCTAATAAACCGAGCAATTCGAAAAAAAATGGAAAAAGTATCGATATGATCGAAACGGAAACGGTTATTTCGTTTTGTCGCCACCACGAATCATTCGCTTCCGGTTGCGTTGATCTTTCGACGACTACAAAAACAATATATGCGGAAAATGCTAAAAGTCCGATGACGAAAAAACTAACTAAAACTCTAAGACATATAACTTTCCAACTGTAAAAAAAAAAAACAAAAACGATTGATTGAATGAATGATTGAATGAATGAATAGTAATAATAATAATAATAATAATAACTTTTTTTTATCTTTTTTTCTTTCTGTTTCTTCGAGCAAAGCTTCTTTGAAACCGAGTATAAGTGATGCTACTCTATTATGAGCCGTTTCCGCATTTCCGATCATGTAATCCCATCCGGTGAATATTTTCCAAGTGAATATACATTCGTCATCTTTTTCCGATAATTTACTCATTCTAGAATTTTCAGCCATTCTGAAGAGAAACCCCCCCCGCCCCCCGAATTTTTTTAATCATTTAATCGAAATAAAAAACGTTTAAAAGGGTTCGTTTAATTTGTTACCTTCGAAGTGTCGCGACGAAACTGTAAACGTAAACGGCAATTCCAGTCATAAAATAAGCAAGTGGTAACCGGTACCCGGTACTCGTACCATCGTGATTAGTATAATATCCGTAAAAAATTGGAGAATATTTAAGTACTCCACCGAAATCCCAAAGTGTTACTAAATTAGTAGCCGTACGTTTTTCATCCGGAAGCATTTCTTTTCTTTCTCCGGCACTTTTAACATCCGCCGTTAACATCTATAACAAAAAAAAAATCACGTGGGGCTCACCGATTGTGACGTCATCAACGTGACAAGAGACAATCATTTACCTCAGGTATGGCGACGAAACATGCCAAAACAATCGTTATGACTAAATTAACCCAAAACATCCATCTTAAAAATGTAAAATAAGAAGCAACGGCAGATCCAAAATGTGATTCGATTTCTTTTATTCTTAATTCCCACGGGATTAAAAGTGTCATCGTGTTTGCCAATTCCCTTTTTAAAAATTGTAACTTCTGTTTGGGAGCGGGGGGGGGGGGAAACAAAAACAAAAATTAAATTAAATGTTTTACGTAATAATGTTAGTGATATAATCATCATCAAACCTTTATCAGCCATATGTTGAACCTTGCTAAAATATCCTTCGTACTTTTCGACATGGCTAACCTTTCTTGCAACTCCCCTTCGTGCCTTTTCACGTAGGCTTTTGCCTGTTGAACCAATTTTATTTTCCTCCTCATACCCCAGGGTTGAAATTTAGCACTGCTTAAAACTTCTTTATGCAATCGAATGTTCTCGAATATTTGTTCTTGAGTCGTCGTTTCATTTTCGACTGTTATGGCAGTGCTACGAAAAGAGGAAAAACAAATTTCGTCAAAACAAAAAAGGTTAAAAAAATTTTTAAGTAAAAAAAAAAATGGTAACTGACTCTCCTGAACTGTTTGTATACTCGGAAGATCTTCTTCTTGTACCCAATTGTAAATTACCATCTATTGTCGTGAGAGGAGATGACGTTCTTCTTTTTCTTCTTTTACTAGATGCTCTTTTCATCGATTCTCTTCTTTGTATAATAACGTTAACACTCGCTGAATAATCATCATCATCATCATCTTCTTTTTTTCCGTCGTCGTTCATTTCACCAACAACTTTTCCAACTTCTTCATCTTTAATGATGGAAAAACAAAAAAAAATCAATTTTCTTATTTTATTCTAATTATTATTATTATTATTATTAGGATACCTGGAGGATAATTTCCAAGACTTAATCTATCCATATCGTTGATTTGAGATGGTGGCGATCCCGGATCAAAAATGTTTACTTTGACCGAACTTTCCGACCAATCACTTTTTTCGGCAAAAGTTACCGACAAACGATCGACGGATGGTTGTGGCGATGGTGGTTCATCCTAAATTTTTTTTTTTTTTATCACTCTTAACGATGATGAAATTAAAACTAAACTAACAAAAAGAATATTCTGGAACGAATTAAAAAAAAGGAGAGAAAAAGGAAGGAAAAAGGAGGGAAAATTTACATCTTATCAAAAAACTTGTTTTAGGACATCTGTAGACAACGGTTGAGAATTTTCTTTTTTTCTTTCTTTCTTTAGAGTTTTATTGCTGGAATCACGCGATTTCCAGACACTCCCCACTTTAACCTTTTTAATAAAATATAATTAAAGTGAATGACCAACAAACAAAAAAAAATTTTTTTGTTACACGAGTGCGTTAACACACGCACATTTTCAAAAATATTTTAAATTGATTAAAAAAAAAATTTTCACCTTTTTTTTCTCTCCACCCCCCTTTTTCCTCCCCTCCCCTCCCTTCCATCCCCCTTGACCCCTCTTCTTTTTTTTCTTCGCCTGGATAATTTTTATTTAAAATTTTTAAATGTTTTACGTAATTAGGAATTATTATTATTATTATTGATTAACAAAACTCAAAAAATTTCTAGAAACAAAAAAAATTTAAACGTCAGCAATTAATTAAAAAAAAAAAATTTCCCTCCCCCCCCCAAAAAAAAGAAAAAGTGATGATGATGCCGATTATTGAGTTTTAAAAACGTCAAAAACACACACAAAAAAAAAATGAAAGAAAATTCATTAATTAAAAATAAGAAAATGATAATAATAATAATTTTCGTGAAATGATCGAACCGGAAAAAAAAGAGAGAAAAACCAAATTGAAAAATAAAAAACGTGGAAGTAGACTAAATAAATAAGTAAATGAAAAATTATCGTTTTTGTAACGTCGTCGTCGTCGTCGTTTATAAAAAATTCGTGTTTTAATTTTAAGTTTTAGTTAGTTTTTGGTTATCAAGTCTTATCAATTATCAGAAAAACAAATCGCAACAACAACAACAACAACAAAAATATCCTGGAATCGTCCCTGGAATTTTTTACCGTAAAAAAAAAAAAAAATCATTGATATGAAAAACAGGAACTGAAAAAAATAATTTAAACGACTGGAAAAAAATCATCATCATCATCATCATCATAAACAAACAAACGTTCGTAATTATTTTTTTTAATATTTTCATTACATTTAACAACAACAACAACCAAAACGTTTGTTCTTTTTTTTCCTTAACACAAATACGTCATCATCATTTTTATGTAACGTAATTAATAATAATAATAATAATATTAATAAAATCAAAAATTAAATTAATATTAATCAAACATTGCGTGATAAGAAAACATTTTTTATTGTTGTTTGTTCGTTTGTTTGTTTGTTTTTTCCTTTCTTGTCGTTTTAAAATAAATAAATAAATAAAATAAAAAAATCTAAAGGAAAATTTATTTATTTATTTTTTTTTTGCCACATTTTGTAAAAGAAAAATCTTTTGTTTCTTTAAAAAAAAAAGGGCGGGAAAATGAGGGGGAGGAGAGGAGGGAAAGGAGAGGAGAAGAGAAGGAGGGGAAGGAGGGGAGGGGAAGGAAAAAGAATTGAACTCACCTGTGCCATTAATTTATTTGATAATTTTTTATAATCGACTGAGCACGTGGAACTTCCTGAACCCCCCGAACTCCTCCTCGGTTTATTACAATCGACTCTTAATATTCCAACCATGGGGGGCTCTTTTTTATCGGAAAATTTATTTTTTTCTTTATTCGCTCCTGAATTCATTTCAAATTTCAAACTTATATTTAAATATACGCAAAAAAAAAATGTAGAGAAAATAAGAGAAGGAGGACAAGACGATCCAACCAATCAGAAATCGAGTAACGAATAAACGTGTTTAACTTATGGCGCTAATTCAAACTAAAACGAATAACAAAAAAAAAATTAAATTTATTTATTTTTTCGACTCCATATTTAATTTTAATTAAATCTATCATTATTATTATTATTATTAATTATTATTATTATTATTAATTCGATTTAAATTTTTTTTATTATTTAAAAATAATTATTAATTTTGATAATATACATAAAAATAAAAAAAACAATTTGTGAAAAATTTATTTTTATTTTAATTATTTTTTTTCTCCAGCTCGCATTCATTTATTATTATTATTATTAATTTTTTTTTACATTACGATTATTATTATTATTATTTAGATGCTAAGGGTATAAGAAAAAGGGAGCAAATAAGAGAAAAATGTAAATAAATTAAAAATGACTTACCTTGATTATTATTTCTAAAAAAAAATCGTTTGGATAAAATTATTTTAAAAAAAAAAAAAAAAAAAAACCAACAGATTCGACGACCCCCCCGTAATAATAATAATAATAATAATAATAATAATAACTTCTTATCAACCACGTTTTGAAAACAATAACTGACAACACAAAGTTGACGAGACCCGAGTTATCATATCAAAAACAACCTTAATATTGTTTCACCGCACCCAAAAAACAAAAACAAGAACAACGAAACTATTTAATCATAATTTCACATAATAAAATAAAAAATAATTATCAACCCCCTCAACCCCCCTTTTAATTAACCCCGCCGCCATTTTCTTTAATAAAAAAAAAAAAAAAACATTTTTTTTATGTAAACCCCACCCACTCATTGAAAATATGTTTTTTTATTAGTAAATAACATTAATAAAAATGAACTCGTTTTTTTTTTTTTTTTCAAAGTTACAAATTTTTTATTTATTTGATTTTATATTATTCGAAAGAAATAATAATAATAATAATGATAATAATAATAATGATAATAAAAATAATAATGATAATAATAAAATTGATGATATAACGATGATAAAAAAATTAAACTAATAAATGTTATTTTAGAAGAACAAAAAAAAAAAAAAACTTATGTAAAAAAAAAAATTATTATTATAATTATTGCGACGTACTGTTATTACGTCATACATATTTTTTTACTCACTAATCGATAATAATGATAATAAAACGACAAATATTATTATTATAATTTATAATTATTTATCGATTCGCGATTACATTTATTTAACTAACAAACTAAATAACTAACGAACTAAATCTATTATTATTATTATTAATAATACGATTACTTTATTAAGGTCCTTAAAAACTATTATTATTATTATTAATATTATTATTATTAAATTAATAATTAACCTAAAACGATATTTTAAAAAAAAAAAAAAAGAAAATTAAACTGGATCAAAAATATTGACGGGAATAAGAGGAGGAGGAGAAGGGAGAGAGGAGGAAGAGGATGAAAAGGAGAAGAAGAGGGAGGAGGAAGGGGATGAGAAGGAGGAGAGGGAGGAGGATGAGAAGGAGGAGGAAGATGTGACGTGAGAAAGAAAAAGACAGTAAATGAAATGCTTGACGTTATTAATGTATTTTATGACGAAGAACGATGATGAAGATGATGATGATAACAATCAGTCTTTCTTTTACGATATGACATCAAATTGATAATAATAATAATAAAACTTTTTATCATCATTACGTTGACCCTTTGAAAACCGGGAGGGGGAGTACAAAAAAAAATGAAAAAAAGTGGAAAGGAAAAACACAAACAAAATGTCGGGGAGAATAGGGAAGGGGGTTGTTGGGTGGGTAGGTGGGTAACTACAACGAAAAACCAAAATCAACGCAATAATAAAAAAAGTATTATTATATTATAATAATAATAATAATGACAATAATGACGAATGATAAGGAACGATGATAAGACGGACAAATTTTATTTATATATATAAACTAACGAATATTATTTGGTTATCATTTTTAAAAATTATTTAGCAGAAGACACTTAAAAAAAAAAAAAAAAACGATAATTGGCACGACTATAATAATTAAATATAAAAAAAAATCAGTCGATGTGATTAATACTAATAATAATAAAACATAATTTTCCGACGTTTCTTTCTTTTAGTCCTTTTACTAACAAGCTAATCGATTAACTATATAACGTAAAAAAATCATCTTAAACAAACAAACAAACGAACGAACTGACAAACGTACCTACGAACCTTATTTTTCCTCCTTCCCCTCCCAATTTGTGTCTTAAAAAACGATCTAATATTTCTTATAAAGTTATCTCTCGATAAAGAAAAATCGATCGATCGATGGATCGACGAGTTCATTAATTACTTCTCCAATTATCTGTACTACACGATAATCACGTAGGATTATCGTGATAAGACCTGGAGAAATCAAATGAAAGGATTTCCAAAAAAAAAAAAATAATAATAATGAATGCGGAATTTTTATGCGAATGAAAATCAACAAACCTCTTCGACGGAAGAGGATTTCTTCAATGTGTTTCCGCAATTTTAACAAAATCGTTGTTATTATTATTATTATCGTTACTACTGCCACTACGACTTTACATTCGATCTAAGTTTAAGGGGAAGGAAACGAAAGGTGGTGTAGGAGGAAGTGTTTTTTTTTTAAACTAAAAAGAAGAGAAATAGAGAAAAGAAAAATTTAAATTTTTGTGAGAAAAAAAAAATAACCGGAAGTTCGGATTAAGGGTCGTTGTCATTGTTCGTTACGATTTTAAAAAACAAAATTTTCCGATAATTAATAATCATATAAACTAAAAACTTTGATTGACGTGGTTTTAGAAAGAATAAAAAAAAAAAAAAAAAAACAAAAAAAAACGCGGGAAAATTTTTTCTTTGATTTGTGCATCAAACGTACCGGAAATTCTTTAGTTAAAAAAAAAAAAGAGAAAAAAAAAGAAAATTAGAGAGAGAATATGAGAAAACGCACATATTCTGTCTCTTTCTACGGTAATTTCGCTCTCTTTCTAAAACCACGTCAAACTAAAAAAAAAGTAAAAAAAATTTTTTTCGTAACCTATCCTAAATAATACATGATGCATCATCGTATGGCCGAATCACAATTTCCGTTTTTTCCTTTTTTTCCTTTTTCTCCTTTTTTCCTTTTCTTCCTTTTTTTTCCTTTTTTCCCCCGTGATGATCGTGATTAAAACGTCGTCATTCTTCCAAGTTGTAATTTCAATAATTTTTTCCTCTTTCTCGTGCTCAAAGATTCCAAAAGGGATTGTGAACCTTCGAAAATGACTTCTTCGTCGTATTCTTCTCCCACGTCACCTTTGAAACAATCAAATTCTTCATCCTTTTGCGATTTGTCACCGTCAACGAATCCACTTTCCGGTCTCGATAATGGATGACTTTGCGACGGAGTCAATTTAAACCATCTGAACACTTTCGACGACGGACTCAACTGGAAAATTAAACGAGAGTAAAATTTTTTTTTTAAGCTACGGTCCTGAATCTTTTTTTTATCTATTTTAATGTTTTCATGTAAAAAAAAAAAAAAAAAAAAAAATAATAATAATAATAATAATAATAATTAAATGAAAACGAAAGCAAAAAAAAAAAAAGAAAAAGACATGGAACAATTTTCTAGAAATTTTAATGAAAAATTTGCGTGATGGAAAAAAAAATTTTTCTCTCCCCCTCCCTCCCCCTCTTTCTCTTTTTCAAACTAGTGCGAACGTTTTTGAATTTTTTTTTTTTTTTTTTGGGAGGAGTTGTTATTATTATTATTATTATTATAAGAAAATGGCTTCCTTAATTTATTACGAGCTTTTTCTTTTTAAAAAAAAAAAAAAAAAAAGAAAGAAAATTTCAGGATCGAAAAATGGCAAATGATAATAATAATAATTAAAATAACATTTTCTATTTTCATCACGAAACGTCGGCGATTATTTTTTTTCTTTTTTCTTCTTTATCTTCTTCTTCTTCTTTTCTCCCCACCCTCTCCCTCCAACAAAAAAAAAGGGAGTTAAAATACAAAAATTTGAATCCAAAGTTTGAACGTGAGGAAAGAGAGAGAGTAAATTTGAGTTAATAATTTTCCATAATCGGAAAAGCTTTAAAAATCCCACGCCGGAAACGCACAAGTGCGATTCGAAATGAATTTTGTGGAACTTCAAAAACAGACAAGAGAAAGAAAGAGAGAAAAAGAGAGAGAGAGAAAAAGAAAGAGAGAGAGAGAAAAAGAGAGAGAAAAACTATTTAAAAGCGTTAGTTTCCGGAAAACCCGACGGAGAAAAAAAAAAACCAAAACCAAAAAAAGTTTAGTTAAGTTTAAATCATAAAACGGATGACGTAAGTCAAATACTGAACAACTTCTGAACATGCCCCCCAAAACAAAAACAAAACAAACTGAAAAAATTAAAAAAATTGAGGACCAAAAAAATTTTTTATTTTAATTTTTTTACAAACGACAAGTCAAACGAAAACAATAACAGAAAAAAAACTCACCTCTATGAATTATTATTATTATTATTTTAAATGGAAAAAGGAAAAACCAAACCTTCACCGTATTCGAGAAAAAGGAAAAAAGGAAACAGACATTTTACATTTATTTTAAACGTTTTAAAAATCACCGACCGTTAAAAAAAAAAAAAACAACTAATTAAAAACGAAATCAAAGTTAAAACTACTACTAAAGCAAAATAATAATAATAATAATAATAATAATAATAATAATAATAATAATAATAATAATAATAATATAAGCAAACACACGAACGGGATTAAAAAAAAAAATGCAAGCAGTAAAAAAAAAAGTAAAAGATTAAAAAAAAGGAAAATGAAGACGACGCGAAGTAAATCCGATGGATAAAAAACGGAAAAGTTTCACACAAAGTTGACCACACCCGTTCGCATTAAAAAAAAAAAAAATTATTAAAAATAATCGAAATTAAAATCGAACTCGAAACAATAATCGAAATAAATAATTTCGATTATCGTCATAAACACATGCACATATAGAATATAACGACACCTTTTCTCTCCTCTTCCGTTTAGTAATACTTACGTTCGACGTGTCATTAAAAAAAACGGAAAAACGTGGAAGAAGAAAAGACATAAAGAAAATAAAAAAAACCGACACTCTCTTTCTCTCTCACATTCACTTTCTCTATGACTCTCTCTAATCCAAAACTATTATCTTACAAAAACAAACAATTTAACGTTCGTTATATATACAACAAAATAACTTAATTGTTAATTAATGATAATAAATATTATTTATTTATTTATTTATGCAAGTTATTAAAATTTTCTCGCGTTAATAAATTAATAATTTTATTTATTAACACGAGAAAATAACAAAAGGCGAAAAACCGTTAAAAAAAAATATAAAAAATTAAAAAACAATCAAAGGAAATGATTTTTTTTTTTTCATTTCCTTGAATTTTTAATAATAATAATAATAATAACGATTATAACTAATTAAAAAAAATTTTTTTTTACAATTATTTTTACACATTATGTACATAAATAAATAAATAAAAATTAATACATAAAAAAATAAATAAAAGTGACGTGTGGCACTTTATGTGTGTTAAAATATCTACCAGAACAATTGTTTGTTCTTTTGTTTGTTTGTTTGTTTTATTTAATTATTAATCTAATTAGTAATAATTAAAATTTTACATTATTAATAAATAAATAACTTCAACAACTAAATTTTTAATAAATTTTTTTTATTTATTAATAATAACAATAATCCGTTTATTTAATTTTTTTCCCCTTTTTTTTCTTCGCATTTTTACAATAATAATAATTTTTCTTATTTATTGATTTATTGACTAGCAATTATAATTTTTCATTCGTTTTAATAATGATGATGACGTCATTGTTTGATGACGTCACAACTTATTATTTTGTTTGTCTCGCCCAAGTCGTTCTCTGTACCAAATCCATGAGTTCGCTCCTACTTGATACTTTTTCGCTTGTCGATCTCGTTATGTTCGGCCTTTCGTTTTTCGGCTTTTTCGCACTGTCGGAACCTCTCAGAGTTATGAAAGACGATAAAGCGGACGTGAAAGCGTTCTGATAAGATTTTGGGGATTGTATGGGACTTTTGAGTGGGGGCGGACTCGACGTTCCTCCGAACCTTCCCGTCGTCGATTTATCCGTTGTTGGAATGATTACGGATGGTGGAGATTCGACGCGACTTTTCCGACGGTTTCCATTATCTCCCGTCGATGATTTTTCTTTCGATTTCTGTTTCGAATAAATCGGTTTTTTATCCATCGGAGGCGGATCCAACATCATGGGCGTTTGAGGTTCTTCCGCGGACGACGTCGTATTTTTTTCCCCATCGTTGACGACGTTCGAATCTAGAATTAAATCCGTTGCCGTAGGCGTCGTCGCGGTCGTCGTCGCCGCGGTCGTCGTACTCGTCGTCGTATTCGTCGCAGTTCCTTTGTTGTAAGGTTGTTTCACTTGTGGAAAAGTGTTGGAAAATGAATAAAGTCCCGTCGACATAGGTTGATAAACGTTCGGCGTCAATATCGAATACGGAATATTTTGATATCCGTTCATGTTTTGAAGCCTTTGTAAAAGTTGAGCCTGAAATTGTTGTTCGGGTAATGGAAAGGTAAACGAATATGGAGTGGAATTCGTCGACTGTGAATAAAATCTTTGCTTCGGCGAACTCGGCACCGTCATGTACTGTCCAGAATGTTTGCTCTCTATGAAATCCTGATAATCTTGGAGATACGAAGACGAATCACAGAAAAGCTGGAAATTACATCAAAGGACGAAAGGATGGAAAGAAAAGATGACGAAATAGGCAGAAGAACAAAAAAAAAAAAAGAAGAAAAAATTAAAATTAAAATTTCATACAATCATCGACGAGACATTATACCTTAATATTAATGTGTTTTTTTACTCTATGACTCTTAACTTTTTTTTTTTTAAAGAAAAATGTCACGATTGCATAATTTGTATCAATATTATTTTAAACTTAATCACATTTAATATTATAATTTATTATAATTTTTCCTACTTCGAAACAAGAAAAAGAAAGAAAACCTTTTCATCTTAAAATATTTTTTAATAATAATAATAATAACTTTAACCTTTTCTTAATGCGATCGTGAAGTTTTTTTTTTTTTTTTGCTTTTACGCGAATTTGTGACGTCATTTTCATTGAATTTGCATTTTTTTTTTTTTCTTTTAAAAAATTAATTTAATTAATAAATATTTTTTCATTTTTTTATTTATACTTTCGCGTTCCTACCGTATTAAAAAAAGGAAAAGAAAAATGAAAATTTTTTCAAAGGAAAATTCCTTTGACTCGATTCTCTCCTTTTCCCTCACCCCCTCCTTCTCCCAAAATAAAAAAATTTCGGAAAACTTTTTCCCTTAAATAACACAAATCAAACGTTTGTCTTGTCATCGAAAACCTACCCGCGATATTTGTCGCCATCACGACAATTATCATTATTATTTTCGTTCAAATGAAAATTTCCCTACGATATTAAAATAATAATAATAATAATAATAATAATTTCAGGAGTAAAATTCTTTGACTTTTCATAAAAGCAAAAAATTATTTCACGTTTGCTTGAAAAAAAAAAAAAAGAAAAAACGATTTCAGACATTTTATATTAAAAATATTAAAATTTATCGATTTTATCGATTATTATATACCTATTCTTTCTCTCTCTTTTTGTTTTTTGTTTTTTTTTTTCTATTCAATCCAATAAATTTAAAGCAAAGACCTGTAATAAATAAATAAATAAATAAATAAATATGTAAATTATTAAATACATAATAAAATTCATTCACGTTTAAAAAAAATAAACAAACAAATAAACAAACAGAAACAACCCACAACTTTTGACGACAATTTAAATTTTCCAATATGTATTCATTGAAACAGCAAACAACAATCGACAGAAATAAAATTTAAAAAACGAGAAAATCGTTTTGTTTTTGTTTTTTGTTTTTCTTCATCTTTTCCTTCATTATCATCATCATCATCATCGTATTCTTTCTTTATTCTATTTATATTAAATAATGTCATTAAATAATTATTACGGTAATAAAAATATCAAATTTTTAAAAATATTTATTTATTGATTTATTGATTTTTCTTGTTTTTTTTTTTTTTTTTTTTTTTTTTTTTTTTTTAAACGAGTAATTAAATTTTACGTCCGATTTTCCATTGGGAAATTATGATGATAATAATAATAATACTACCACCATTACTACATAAATGTTATCGATTGACGTCATTCCGAGTCGTTCGAGTCATTAAAAAATTTTCTGCCGAACAAAAAATAAAAATAAAAAATAAAATGATTGGTTACACAGAGAGAGAAAGAGAGAGAAGGAAAGAGAGTAAGAGTGTGTGTGTGTGTGTGTGAGAGAGAGAGAGAGAGAGAGAGAGAAAACAATTTTATTTTAAACGACTTCAGAAATTCACGTCAATTTCGATCCCATTAAAACTACGGAGGGGAGGGGGAAGGGAAATAAAATGACCACACTATACGAATTCGTATAACTTTTCCCCCCCTTCGCCCCTTCCTACGGGTATAAGCAAACAGAGGGAGGAGGTGTATAAGGGGGGGGGGTAATGAAAAAAGTCAAACTCGTTTAAAAAAAAAAAAAAAAACAATAATTAAACATAACCTAACCCGGTTCGATTCGGTTCGACTTCACGACATTTTTGCTGTTTCAATTTTTTATATGATGATTTTTTAACAACGCAACAAACGTGAATACAAACAAATCAATAATAAAAATTAATAAATCAATAAACAAACAAACAAACAAAAAAGTTACAATAATATTACAAAAAAAATATAAAAAAAATTAATAAAATTATTACAAAACGATACGGTAATCAAAATTAATAATAAAAAAATTAAAATAAATAAATAATAATAATAATAATAATAATAATAAAAATCAACAAATAAAGAACAAGCCATTATTATTATTATTATTATTATTATTATTATTATTATTATTATTATTATTGTTACAAAAATTTTTTAAAAAATTAAAAAAAAAAAAAATTACAAATCAAAAATAAAAAATAAAAAATAAAAAAAATTACGCGACAAAAAATACGCAAAAAAAATATTAAAAAAAATTAAATAAATAAGTAAACAAACAAACAAACAAACAAACAAACGCAACAGACAAACTAATAATTTATGACCGACGTTAAATTGTTTTTTTTTTTTTGTTTTTTTTTTTAATAGAAAAATATTTAAAAAAATAATCAGAATCTTTCAAAAAAAATAAAAATAAAAAAATCTGTTTTTTTTTTTTTTTACCGGCAACATCGCCGACGTTCCCGCCACTCCGCCATCTTTTTTTTTTTTATTTTAAAAACTAAATCATTTAGGGCTTTAAATAATATTTACAACCGGATGCGAACGGGTAATTTTTTTCCCTCTTTCTTTCTTTTACTCTCCTCGTAAAAATCACATTTCCGCCATAAGTTTATCATTAAATAATAATAATATTAGTTAACGACAAAAAAATGTAAAAAAAAAAAAAAAAAAAATTCCCTCTTTTTGCAGGGAAAAAAGTCAAACGGAAATAAAAAAATTCTTCTTGAGTTAAATAATAAATAATTAAGGCATGCTATTATTCGTTATCATTCGTGTTAGTAATGAGGTTCTCAAGTAATATTTCGTCATCATTTTTTTTTTTTTCCTTACCTGCGGCATCATCGTGACGTTTTGTCCCAACGACGACAAAGGTTTTTGTGTTCTTTCCTGTTCTTGTAAATGATTCACCAACGCGGTTATGTGATCCAATAATTCTTTATTGTGAACGAGAAGCTGATGAGTCCTTGCCTGGTAAAAATGAAAAAAAAAAAAAACAAAACTTTTATTCGATGCTTTTTTGGGGGGAGGGGAGGAGGGGAAACGCCATTTTAACATTTTAAAAATCATTGTTAATCAATTACACCAATAGAGAAAGACGTGTTGTAACCACACGCCAATCGAAAACTAACAAATTAAAAAAAAAAAAAAAGAAACGTTTTGATTGGTCGGATCGTTCAGTACTTTCATTAAAAAATTCATAAAAAAAAGGTCATTCAAAATACAAAACAAATTAATAAAAAAAAAAAAAAAAAAAACAGAAAAACAGACAGAGAGAAAGAGAGAGAGAGAGAGAGTGAAAAAAAAGAGAGAATGATAAAAGATCAAGAAAATAAAAAATAATAATAATAATAATTTTTATAGAATTTTTCCCTTTTTCTTAATTACTTAACTCTTAGTTTTTTAATTACTTTAATTATTTTTATTTAAATCTTTATTTATTATTATCACCACCGCCACCACCACCACCATTATTATTATTATTATTATTATTTACAAAGAATATAATATCATTAAATTAAATATGAATTATTTCTTCAAACGGGAGGAAGGGGGGGACAAAAAGAAAAAAAAAATTTAATTTTTTCGACCGCCGCCATTTTTTTTTCTTTTTCTTTCCCTTTCAATGAAAATCCTTTTTTTCTTTATAAACTCCCGCCACATTAATTTATTTCTGACAAAATAAAAAAGTTGAAATTTTTCATCAATAACCCAAAAATCCTATCATCGTTCTTTCCTTTCATTTCATTGGTTCTTTCATTGGTTCACAAATAATTTTTACGACCTTTTTTTTTTTCATTGATAAAAAAAGATAAAGGAGGGAGGGGGGGGGAAATCGACAAAGAAAACATAAAAACCTGATTAAGAATCTTTCGTGTGCATTCGCCATTAACACCTGACCTCAGATAATAATAATAATAATAATAAAAGTGTACGGATACACGAAAAAGATATAAAAATCTTTTCTTTTTTTTTTTTTTTTCTTACCTGGGCCTCTAATCGAGCAGCTGTTTCCGCGGCCAGCTGATCCCTGAGCAGGTGCACCTGAGCTAAAGCAGCTTGAGTTTGCTGTGATTGTTGATCCAATTGTTCTTTTAATAATTGTATTTCGTGGTGAGCACTCAGTGGCGTGCCCGCCGATGGAATTTGTTCTCCCGATGATTTCAACGGTTCCGTGAGGGGTGATATGTACGTTTCTCCTCCGTTCTTAAACAAACGTTTACAAATTTTTTTTTTTTTTTTTTAAACGATGAGACAAACAAAAATTGAGTTAAAAATGAATTTTACTCACCAGCGGCGAACTTCTTTTGCTCGCGTTCGGTGGCGGAGGAATCATGTCTAACCTCAAAGGTCTTTGGTTCGCCGGACCGTTGGGTGGTGGTGGATTCGAAACGATTCCGTCGACTTCTTGCGTCGAAGTCGAATCTTCTCCTGGAAATATTTCGCAGTTAATCGAATCTACGAGTGGATCCGCTGAAATGAAAATTCACGCGTTAAACCACAATAATAATAATAATTATAATTATAATCATTAGTAAAAATCGTGCGAATCGCGAAATCCCGATACCTGAATTTTTTTACACCTCACGAAATTTACGAAGATACGCAAGGGATAAAATATTCGAAATTCCGGTTGACCGCCATGTTTGTTTTTAAATAAAACGAATGAAAGAAAAAACGGAAAGAGAAGGAGAAAAAGAGAGAGGGGGGGGAATCAAAGTGTCGAAATTTTATTTTTTACAATTTATTCATTTTTACTTTCTATATTTACGAGTAATTTACGGGCGAAAAAAAAAGGAAAAAAAAAAAAATATAAACAGAGAGAGAGGCGCGAGTTAAACGCACTCCGTGAGGATTTTGTACAGAGCACAAAAGGAAAAAGAAAACAGAAAGATACAGATAAAAGAAAAGGAGGAGAAATATGAAGAAAATATTAAGATAAAAGAAAAAGAAAAAAAAGAAAATCTGGCTCGGTGGCGAGGGTCCAGATATTCTTTTTTTTCTATACAATGATGCCAAAAAAAATTAAAAACGATTTACGTCACAATATTGTATATAGAGAGTCGATCCTTTTTTAATAAATCTAACGATGCCAAAAACTGATTTACTGTTTTTCACTTTATTATTATTATTATTTTTTTTTTTTTTTTTTTTTTTTTTTTTTTGTTTTCGAAAAAAAAAAAAAAACAAAACAAAAGACATTTTCTTTTCGATTATTATTTAATTTAGATCGGAAAAAAAGATTACGCGATATAAAAACTCTCGCGGCAACAAGACGAAAATTCATTTTAAATTATATTGTGGAGATGGGGGGAAAGGGGAGGAAAAGGAAAAGTTCATTTTTCTCCTCCTGTTCTTTTTTTTTAATTTATTTTTCTTTCCCGTCGGACTCAGTTTTTTTTTTTTTTTTTTTTTTTTTTAAATGACTCCCTCGTTCCGGAAAAATGACGTGGAGTTAGAGAGGGGGGAGGGAAGAACCCGTTTCTTTTTTCAGGAACTTTCAGGAACAGGAGGACGGAAATTTTTTTTTTTTTCCGTCAACTCGTCAAAAAAAAGGAAAACCCACATCGTAAAACAATAAAAAATAAAAAAATTAAAAACGCCGAAATCGACTTTCCGGAAAATTCGAACGTACAACAAACAAAAAAAAAAAAAAAAAACATTCACGCCGGCAAAACATCATCATCATTATTATTATGTATTTATTAAATTTTAAAAGTGCAAAATAATACGAACGGAAAAATCGCATTTCCCATTTCCTTTTCCCATCCCTATCCCTTCCCCACCCCCTCCTCTTTTTCTCTCATCCGGTTCGATTTTATAAAATGAATCGAAAAAGTTTTTTTTATTTCATTTATTTATTTATTTATTTTCATTTTTTTTCTTCTTTTTCTTTTTCTTCTATGACGTCAATGACAATTTGTTATGTGCGTACATATAGACAGACGAAAAACAAATAAACGCAACACATGCAACACACGCAACGATTCTTTCGTTTCTCTCCTCTCTCCCCCTCCTTTTTTTTAATTAACGATTCGCGCCAAAAAAACGGAAAACAAAAAAAACATAATAATCACATAAATTAAATTAAATATATTTTTTCATTTTCTCTCTATAAAAAAAAAATAATAATAATAATAATAAATCAATTGCACATAAAATAATAATAATAATAATAATAATAATAATAATAATAATAATAATAATAATAATAATAATATAAGGGGGGGAGGAAAAGAAATGCAACGAAATTTCATATTCACTTTTACGACCATCGATAACGAATAAATAAATTTAAATTTCAACGTTGTTTCTCGGGGGGCGATGTATCGATTTCGATGAGGGAGATTTAAATCGATCGATTCTCGATATAACGGAAACAACGAAAAATTTATAATTCCATTATTCAACGTTTTTTTGGCCTAAATATTAATGAGGTCGAGTCGACACCGAACGTTTTAAATTTAATGAAATTAAAAAAAAAAAAAAAAAAAAAATTAAGCCAATCACGGGAAGCCTAAGCCGAAAATCCAACCAATGAGATTAATTTATTAACAAATCGGTAGGAGGTGGAGGGAGGAAGAGAGAGAGAGAGAGAGGAAGGGCAAAAACCGATTTATTTCCATTATGATGAAAATTCTATTATCATCATAAAAAAAAAAAAAAACGTATAATGGAAAAGTTTACTACATCACGTGATATTCCCCTCCCCACTTCTTTCCTTTCTTCCTTTTTTTCTTTTTTTTTTTTAAATATAAACTTTAGGTATCGTTTTTCTTCTTTTTTTTTCTTAAATTTTTTTTTTTTTTTTTTAAACAAAGTTAAAGTCACGGAGAACGGTTTCATAAACATCATGTTCGAATTACTTCCTCCTCCCCTCTCCCACTCCCTGCTTCCTCTTTTTATACGGGGTAAAAAAGAAAAAAAAAAGTAAGGAAAAACTTGAAACTTTACGAAAAGCATTAAATAAATGTACGAGAGTAAGAGGGGGGGAAGAGAAAAGAAATCAGGTACAAAAAATTATTTTTCCCTTAAAAAAAAAAACGACTTTAAAACTCTCGTTAAAAAAAAAAAAATACGCCATAAAATAAATTTATTTTTTTTCTCTATCTCTCTCTCCAGTTTTCCAGTTTTCCAGCTCTGAAACCTTCTAAACATCATCAGACAATATTTTTTGACTTTTTTTTATATTATTTTCCGCGGTGAAAACAACCGCGCACCATCCAACAAAAAAAAAGGACGATTTAAAGAGATCAGACAAGAAAAAATAATAATAAACAAGATGAATAAAAAAATAAATAGATGATTAAAAAAAAAAGAAAATTTCTCCAGCAAGTCCTCCCCTTCTCCATTTTTCTTCCCCCCTCATTAAAATATAATTAAAAACAAAAAATTAAATTACTACGACGTGCTCGTTTAAACCCCCTTTTTTTTTTTTGTTTAATTTTAAAATCGTGTCGTGAGCCCCCCACCCCCTCCTTTTTATTTCGTGAGCATACACACGTATATTCACATCCGTGATAATAATAATAATTTCCATTTCCACTCCCCCCCCCCTTCCTTCTTTTTTTTCTTATGCGTGAAACAACGTCTGCTCGATGATGACGTCGACAAATCCGAGTTTTCCGATGGAAAAGTTTCGCTTACGTACGCGTAATAAAAAAAAATCAACAAATAATAATAATAATAGTAATAATAATAATAATAATAATAATAATAATAATAATAATAATAAGTGAAAATTTAAATTTTACGTTTTTCTATTATTTTTTTCGACGTACAAACAATAACAAACAACAGCGAAATTCTTTTTTACAACTTTTTTTTTATTTTACGTATTTTATGGCTTTTTTCACTCTTTAGTTCATTCATTTATTCATTCATTCATTCAATCAATCAATCAATCAATCATTCAATCAGTCGTTTTTCATTGATCGCATAATTCGCATTTTTCAAATCAAAAAAAAAATTCCGCGAAAAGCTAAAAAAAGAAAAAGGAGAAAAAGAGAACAAAAAAAAAAAAAAAATTTCCTTTAATTTTCTTTCTTTCTTTTTTTTCTTCTCAACGTCCTCAACAGCGAAAATAAACGTGTGCGTGTGCGTGTGCGTATAAACACATGCAGCATTTACATCCGTAAATTTTCTTTTTTTTTTTTTTAAAAGAATTCGATTAACTGTCAAAATTAAAAAAAAAAAAAAAAAAATTCACGGTTTTTTAATTCCACGCCATCAAATACGACTAAATTTAGTTTTCGCACGTCAAATCGAAATCGTTTTTTCCGGTGGGGAGGAGACAGAAAGGGGAAAAGGGGGAAATGGGGAGGGGGGAAAGAAGTCAAACCGTAACCGTCGTTAATATTATTATTAACATCATCGTTTTCGTCCTCATCAACATCATCATCATCAATATCATTTTAAAATTTTTAATTTCATTTTCAAGGCTGGATTCCGTATACACACGTCTTTTTACGTCTGTCACAAAAGAACAAACAGTCAAAAAAAAAAAAAATTTTTTATGTGCCACGTTAAAATAATAGATCTTGTGACTTGGACTAAGACCAATAGTCGTGCTGGGATCACGATGATGTCCTCCATTTTTTTTTTCTTTAACGTATTTCTCTATTTTGAAAAAACAAAAAAAAAAAAACCCAAAAAAACAAAATTTTAAACGAAACGAATCGATAATTTTCTTTCTCTCTCTCTCTGCTCGATTTTATATTAAAAAAATTAATTATAATTATTGTAATTTTTCGTAAAATTATTATTATTATTATTATTATTATGGACGAGTAATAAATTTTATTTTCTTTGTTCTTTATAATTTTTGTTTGTTTGTTTGTTTGTTTGCTTTAAAATTTCACGCTGCCTCCTCGCCTGATATTTTTTGCTTTTTCCGAAAAATTAGAAAAAAATTTTTTTTTTTTTTTTTTTTTTTTCAAGTCAACTGCATCCGTCACCACGAATCTCAATTATACGCATCGATTTACTCTTTTCGCGTGACAAATTAAAAAAAAAAAAAAAAGCTCAAACGAGAACGTTTGATTTCGTGTCAAAGAAAGAGAGAGAGAGAGAGAGAGAGAGAGAGAGAGAGAGAGAGAGAGAGAGAGAGAGAGAGAGAGAGAGAGAGAGAGAAAGAATCGACAAAGATTTTTTTTTCTTAAGAATGAAAAACAAAAGAAAAAGGAAGGAAGGACGTTAAAGAATAATAGAAGAGGAAAGAAGAAAAACAAAAAAAAAAAAAAGAAAAGAAAAAAGGAAAACTCATAAACGCGTGGTTAAGAACGATGATGATGATGATGATAATTATATAAAGACGTCACACAACGGAAAATTTTTTTTTTTTTTTTGAAAAGAAACATTTGGCAAAGGGAACCGGAAAATTATCTCAAAATGAGACACTAAAACATCAATAAAAACTGTCTGAGCTCGTTAAATCCTCCGCTATAATAATAATAATAATAATAATAATAATAATAAAAGAAATGAAATGAAATAATAAAAAAGTGAATAAAATTAAAATTAAAATTAAAACTAAAAAAATTTTTTTTTTTCTTTTTTCTTCTTTTTCTTTTCTAATTTTTTCGCAATTTTTTTTAACCGAGTGCGATTTTTTTTTTTTCTTTATCTTCCCGTCGAAAACTTTGATTTAAAAAACCACAAAAACCGATCATATATCTTTTTAATCACGAGATAAATTTTGACAATATTGACTGATGATGATGATGATGATCACGATTAAAATAATAATAATGATAATAAAGTTCGAGAAATTCCATTCATTCTTCGAAAAAAAATTTTTTTTACGACAACAACAACAACAACAACGATATCGAACGATATCTGTAATGAACGCTAAAAAACACTCTTAACAAAAGCTAAAATAATAATAATAATAATAATAATAATAATAATAAATAAAAATAAAATGAATCCACAAAATCCACGCAAGAAAAACGAACCGAACGTCATCAACCAAAAAAAAAAAAAAAAAAAAAAAAATTACCGGAAGGGGAGGGAGAAAAACAAAATCAAAATACGAAGAAAATTGAAAATGAGAACGAAAAGTTCCGGAATCGGAAATAAAATCGGGCGAACCCGTTTGATGTACCGGAAACCTTTACACAAAGATCTCTGAAAATCGATTTTAAAAAAATAAAAAATTTTTCCCGATCAAAAAAAAGGGAATCCCCAAATCTTTTATTAATTTTTCTGATCCACACATTTTCTGTAATAAAAATTTTCATGCGAAACGTCAAAATGTACCCGCAATTAGCAAATAAAACGCATTAAAAAAAAAAAAAAAAACCTTTTTAAAAATTACGCGAGACAAGTTTGTAAACATTTATAATAATAATAATAATAATAATTATCACGACGACGATGATGACGTAAACGATTCCAGGAAAAATCAAAAAATCGCGACTTGTTAAAAGCTCCAGATTAAAAAAAAAAAAAGGATCGCTTTTCTTTCGAATCGAATAAAAACGTTTAATTCATTTCCGCAATTGTCAAGTGTCAAAATAACCGGATGTGAAAAGAAAAGAAAATAATAATAATAATAATAATAATAATAATAATAATAAAATTTTCCGATTTTGATCGTAAAAAAAACGCAAAAGAAAATTTTTTCAAAATGTTTTTTTTTTTTTTTTTATCAAAACAGATTAAATTGCTAGAATAATAATAATTTTTTAAATTTTATTACCGCAATAAAACATTATTTTCACCTACTTTTCTTTTCTTTTCTTATTATTATTATTATTATTATTATTATTATTATTATTATTATTATTATTATTTAAAAAAAAAGATTTATTATTTCACCGTCATTTGTTTTTAAAACAATCATATTAAATTAAAAAATACGAAACTGTCAAAATTTAAAACAAAAAGTTATAAAAAAAAGAAAATTTAAGGTCGACGACCGCGAGTCATCGACCAATAGAAAACGTTTATTAAATTTTAAAAGAGACGTGCGATTGAAATATAATCATTTACTTATTTTTGGGGGGCGGATGGGGAGGGAAGGGGGAAATAAATCGCGAGTCTTATTTATTTATGTATATTAGTAGTAGTAGTAGTGGTCAAGCTTACCCTTTTTGGATTCGCTGAAAGCTTCGCTACATCTTTCGCTTTCCCCATCTTCCGTGTCGTTTAATATTTCTTGATCGTCATCAACGGACGAAGGCGTGTTCAGCGACAATTTATGACAAACTTCAAAGGCTTGACCGACGGTTCTAACTATTCTCATGGCTTGTCTCTGAAAAAATTCAAAATTTTTAAATTAAATTAAAATGTCTGAAAGAGAACACGTGGATTATATTTTTCACCACCCGGTGTGACAACCACGTGACGAAACAAAACAACTTCCGGTGACTACAGTTTTTTTTTTTTTTTTTTTTTTTTTTTTAATAAATTAAATATCGTTTCCCCCTTTTCGAAATTTCCTAATTTTCAATATTACCTGATCATCATACGTAATTTCATAAGTTTTCCCTTTCCCCGAATTTCCCGGAAAAACGACTTTCTCGGAAAAACTCGTTAAAATCCTTTTAAAACTCTTAAATTTTCCAAAAAAAAAAAGAAAAGGAAAAGGAAAAAAGGAAAAACAAACAATGTTTCGTTGCCTTTAAATTAAAACAAACGATATGGCATTTCTACCTGGTTCGTGAACCTTACCTTCCTAAATCTCATCGAGAACGCGTAACAAAATGTTTAATTTACGGCGATGATGATAATAATAATAATAAATCTTACAAAAGCATCAAAAAAGCGGTTGAAATTACATCCGGCACCATTTACAGGAAAAATATGGGAAAAATTCCAGGATGTGATCAAAAAAAAAAAAAAAAAAAACAGACCGGAAACGACGCTAAAAATTCGAATATATTACGAGTGAATATTTTTCTTAAAGAAAATAAAAGAAAAGAAGGAAATTTATCGAAAAAGTCAAATTCAAAACAACCATTTCATCAACCAATTACCACTCATCGCAACAAAAAAAAAAAAAAAAAAGTTTTCGTTCAATGCGTGAAAATTATGTGAAAACTTTTTGCTTTGTAACTTCACTTACAGAAATTCCCTTTTAAACTTTTCAATTTACCTTACCGTAAAAGTTTTAATGGGGAATTTGATAACACGACCGACACACGCACGCACGCACACCCACGCACACTCGTGAAATTAAATGAAAGTTATGAAACTCTTAATACCAACTGAACCCGAGAAATGAAAATTCTCGTAATGATAATTGTACATCATTATCATAATTTATTTTTTGCGTTTTAATCAGAGAGAGAGAGAAAATTTCCTTTTTAGTTACCGTCGTCACGTGTTTTATAATATGCGCGCAAAACCGGAAACCGGAAACGCTGCGATTAAAAATTTAAATAAATATGGCGCCATTTTTAAATAAACAATAACAATGACCGTTTGATTAAATGATCGAATGACTTTGAACGCAAAAAAGTAAAAGTGCATTTAAAAAAAAAAAAAAAAAAAAAAATAGTGTTGCCAACCGTAAAAAATTTTTTTATTAAAAAAAAAAAAAAAAAAAAAAGGAAAAGCGTATTAAAAATATAATTAATTAAACTCAATTAAATAAAAATACTTTTTTTAAAAAAAAAAAAAAAAAAAAAGAAAAGAAAATTTCGAATTAGTCATTTTATATACGAGTTTTTAATTTCTCGTTTATGCGTAATTTAAAAAAAATTTTTTTTTGGATGTAAACGATTCGATCGTGAATCGATTGAGAGAATTATCGAAAAACGATCGATCGATTAATCGATCAATTATTTTGAAAAAATAAAATAAAAAATAAAGAAAAAAAAGAAAAATAAAAAAAAAGAGGTGAATGTAAAAGACAAAGGTTTCTTTTTTTTTTTTTTTTTGTAAATTAAACGTAAGCAACAAGACGAACAACTACTACCACTGCAACTACTACTGCCACGACCACTGCCAAAACCAACGCTTCGAAATTATTAAAAAACAGAAAACAATAAAAGAAGAAAATGATAATAATTATTATTATTATAATCTCCATCCACCATCTTGGAAATTTTTTTTCACATTTTCTAAAAAATACAATAATAATAATAATATTAATGACGACGATGATATTAAAACAAAAAATATTCGGCCTAAATTTTTTACTTTCCATTTTATTTTTTTATTTTTTTCAAATTAATAAATTTAATTTTTTATTTATTTATTTATTTTTTTCTCGTCTCCCCACAAAAATATTATCTGCATATTATAAACCCTTTCGAGTCGTTAAATTTCTTACCGAAAATAATATAAAAAAAATAAATAAATAAATAAGTACGTCACGCATTCTAAAAAAAAAAAAAAGGAAAAATTACACTTTTTGCATCTCAATATTTTTGATTTAACATTTCCTTATTCTTTCCCCCCCTTTTTTTTGCTGCGAAATAGAAAGAGAGAAAGAGAGAGAGAATGTGAATTTCCTTCAATAAATTCCGTCGAAATTTCGTATTAAAAAGAAGATGGGGGGAAGTTGGGGGGTGGAAACGCGAAAACATAACGCAAACGATTATATTAAAAAAAAAAAAAAAAAATCCACTTTTTCCATTTCCATTCTTTCACTCACACAAAAAATAATAATAATAATAATGATAATAAGAAAAGACTTTAACGATGAAGGAGGGGAGGTGTGGGGAGGGGAGGAAACATTTTTTTTAGTGAAAAAGATGATAAAATTAAATTTGAATTCAAAAAGAAAATTGTTATGTAAATAATTTTTTTCGTGTAAATTGTCGAGGAAATACGAATCGAGAGAACGGGAAGCAGAACAGGGAAAAGAGGGGAAGACAAGAAGGATGTTGAAGAACTTTACGGAAAGTACATGGAAAAAAAAAGAAAAATTTCCCCTCCCCTCCCATCCCCTCCCTCCCCCAGTTCTCTTTCTATCGCTTTCCAGCGCAAACAAAAATAAATAAACTCCCTTTCATATTTTCAGTTCGTTAGATAAACGAACGCGTTAGAGACTAACGAGAGAAAACGGAGTAAACACTTTAAATTTATACTTAAATGAATTAATTTTTTTTTTTTTGCTACAGACAACCGATTCCCGTAGCAAATTCGAGATTATAAAAATTTATAGCAAACGAAAAAAAAAAAAAACGGAATCGATTTTATTTTATTTTTTTTTGCCGCAATATAGTTTTTATATCAAAATTTCAAAACGATTGATTTCGGTTAATTAAATTAATCCCGCCATTTTTTTTTTTTTTATTGTCCGATTCAATGAATCAATAAATCAATGTCGTCCTTTGAACACAACATCAGCAAAAGATTTTTTTTTGCTACGGTTAAAAAAAAAGGAAAATTATGTCATTCGGTCGCCTGTGAAGCAATTATTTTTTTTTTTGGCAAATGGATTTTTTAATCACGTTTTTTCCCTCTCTCTCACTCACTCAATCTCTCTCTCTCTCTTTGTCTCCTCATCTCTCGATCGTTGTTCGCCACGTAAAAAAGGACAGCAAAAAAAATTAAAAATTAAAAAAAAAAAAAATTCAAACTTTTTGATTCGACGGCATAATTATAATTTACAAACCTCTCTCTCTCTCTCTCTCTCCTATGAATTCATCAAGATATGGGAAAAAAAATGAGAGAGAGAGAGAGAAATAGAATGAAAAAAAAAAAAAAATACTGGAGCAAAAAAAAAAAAAATTCTCTTATTTTTTTTTTTTATTGAATTCCCCGGAGCAAATTTTTTTTTTCTTTTTTTTCTTTTCCGGGCGTCTATCATCGCCTACTTATTCTTTTTCCCCCTCCATTTTTTTCCTTCCTTTTACCCTCCCTCGGGACGATATAAAAAAAAATTCTTGTTTCTTTTTGACGATGATGATGATGATGACGATGCCGAACCCGGGAAATGACATGTTAAACGGTTTCAAGTTTTCACAGTCATGCATCGGTTTACGTCATTTCCTCTTCCTCCTCCTTCTCCCATCCCGTCCCGTCCCTCTTTTTTTTTTTTAAAAAAGGAAACGGAAACACGTTCATGCGTTTAGACGTGAAAGACCATTTTAAAAAAATTTTTATTCCAACACCCGCACACACACACACACAATTCAAACAAACTCAAATAATTTTTCTCTCTCTAAGAGTTTTCTTACCCTTGGTAATAAAAATGTCGAAACGTTTTTTCAATAAGTTTTCATAAAAAATTCTTATACCCCCTCCCCACCCACCTTCTTATTCACCCTCCCTCTTATTTTTGTTTGCTTTTCCCACGTTTTCATTCTTTCTTCCTTTCATCTTTCTCGAACCGTTCAAATCGCATTTCCCCCCGTTAAAGCAATAAATTTCGTTTCGTTTTTTTTTCTTTTCTTTAACGAGAGACAGGTTCCAGTGCATTGCCATCAAAACCACGTGGGAGCAACACTTGAAAATCCACTCTCGTCAAAATGAGTAAGAAATCAAAATCAAATTATATTTATTTTTAGCATAATTTTTTTAAATTGCTTACGAAATTTAAACGAACTCTTAAAATAACAGAAACCCATAAAAGAAAAAAATTCTTCACTTTCCCTACAATAATGATAATAATAATAATAATGCCAAACTCAAAAGACGCGTTCTCTGTTGGTACTTTACTAACTTGAATAAAATACATCGCTTTTCGATTTTGATTTAGAAAAAATAGAGAAAAAAAAAAGTCTGCGACTTCCGTTTTCCTTTTTTACCGCGAAAAATATTCAAATTCTTAACGTATTTTAAATTTCCTTCCGCCTTTTTTAAAAATCGTCGTGTGTCTGACGTCATTACCGAACTCTCGCCGTCATCTTTTTTTTTAGCGTCGACAGAAAAAACTTTGAAAAAAAATTTTCTTTTTACCTCGAGTTCTTGTTCGTATTCGTCCCAATCTTCATCCTCTTCGCTTATTCTCTTTTGCAAATTCAAAACTTTTTCCCTTTCCCTTTCCCTATCCAAATATTTTCTTTCCATTTTCCTTTTCGTTTTCGTCAAATTCGTTTCCTGTAAACTCTTGTTATTATTACTCTTGTTGTTGAAACCCATTATTTCCGGTTCTTTAAACGATAATTTTTTACGGGGTTTTTCGATCGCGGTTGTTGTCGATGGTTTCGAATTATCGTTTACGACAAAAACGTTTTTCGATCCTTTTAACATTCGGTTGTCCATCCAAGTTGGAGAGACGAAATCTCCCAACCTTTTTTTAAAAAATTTTCCTCTTTTTTGTCCTTTTTTTTTTTTTTTAACGTTCAATTTTTTTTTTCGTTTTGTATTTTTTTAATATTATTTTACTTCGATTCATTATTATCATTATTATTATTTTGGCACTTGGATATCAATTGCTTAATCGATTCGTGTTATAAAATGAACGAACGAATGAATGAATGAATGAATGAATGAATGAAATCGAACAAATTTCGTCGTTTTCTGCTCTGTTTTGATCGAATAAAATTCATTTATTATTTTTCAATTAATTCTTTTCGAATTCACAACCGAAAATCGCCATTTTTTTTTTTTTAATTTAAAAACATTTCACGAGACATTAACGAGATTGAAAATGTGAAAAAGTGGCAGAAAAAAAACAAAAAAAAATTGAAAATCCTATTTCGTGTCACATAAATAATTTTATGTAAATTTTTTGATGGTTCGTACTAAAAAACCTCAAAGTTTTAATAACAATTCGCGACGTTTTTCGTGAATGAAAATGACTAAACGTGGCAGGAACCACTGCCTACTACTACTACTACTACCACTACTACCATTTAAAAACTGTAAAGATTTTATGTCGAAAAAATTCAACAACAACCACGACCTAATCCCTAACGACTTCTTTCTTTTTTTTTTCTTTAAGGCCCGAAAATTTCGAGTTCTTAAGTGGAGAGAGGGGGGGGAGGAAAACGAATTAAATCATTCGAAACTTTTTTTAAAAAATACGTTAATAAATAAATAAAAATAAAGAAATAAAATTTGACGTGTCAATAAAACGTGTTTTAAATTCCTTATACGAAACGATTAATCGATTATTAATGTACGAGACATCGATTTAAAGGAAAAATTTTAATTTTCCTTTTCTCTTTTCTTTTCGCTTTTTCGCACCGATTCAATCTCAATAAAAAGAATTAAAATAATAATAATAGTAATAATAATAATAACAAGCACACACGAAATTTCTCGACGACCAAAAACAAACAAAAAAAATCACAACAACGAACGATTGAACGATAATTTAAAACTTATTAATTAAAAAATACGAAACTGCGACGAATACAAAAAAAAAAAAAAAAGAAAAAATTTACAACACAACGATGGGGAGCACGAAAAATAACTAAAAAGAAATTTCTTTTTTTTTTTTTTTTAAATCTTTTCGACTCCTACGTGTTGTCTAATCATTTTTTTTTTTTATTTTTTTTTCTTCTTCTGCTCCGTTCGCCAGCTCGAAAATCTTATTTATATATATACGCACACACACACACACACACACACACACAGTCTGAGAAATATTTTTTTTTTTTTTTTTTTTTTTTTTTTTTACACAAAAGTTTTCGTTGCCAAAAAGTTAACACGCTTCACGGATTTTACGGAACGATTTGTTTTGTTTAAAAACACAAAGGTAAGCAAAAGTAAAAACAACAACAACAACAACAACAAGCAGAAGAAAAATAAAAATTAAAAAATAATTTGAAGGGGGGAAAAAAAAAAAAAATTGATTTAGCCGGGGTCACGCAATTTTTTTACTTTGTTTTTTGTTTACTCGTGAAAGCTGCGAAAATTTATTTATTTTTTTTTTTTGACATAAGGTCACATCTGTCGTCCCAAAAAAAAAAAAAAAAAAAAAAAAAAAAAAAAATTTTCACGGGCGGTGAAAAGAGAGAGAGAGAGAAAAAGGTTACGAAAAAAGGAAAAAAAAATTTTTTTTTCTTTTTTCCTTTTTTTTCCTTTTTTTTTAAACCGGAATAACAAAATTAATGTAATAAAATTAAAAAAAAAAAAAAAATTGAATAACCTTTTCCACGGAAATTTCTCATTTTTTTTTTTTTTTAGGAGGAGAGAAGAGGGGAGGGGAAGAGGAGATAAAAAGAAAATTTATTCTTTCCATGCGAAATCGGTAATTTGATTTAAAATCCACGAAAGGGAGGGGGCGAGAGAGAAAGAGAGAGAGCTGTGGAAAATCGTAACAAATTTACAATTTATTTTTTTTATTTGGTTTATTTCCGGTTTTTCTCCTAATTTTCCTTATACTGGGAAAAGGGGAGGGGAGGAGACCAGGAATCGAGTATTATAAACTATTATTTATTTTACTTCGATAAATTAAACTTTTCGATCAAATTTTATTTACTATAAATAATAATAACAATAATCACTACCACTGTGATGTGTAACAAGATCTCAAGAAAATATATATAAAAATAAATAAATAAAGATAGAAAGAGAGAGAGAGAGAGAGAGATAAACACAATCGAAAGATTTTTGTAAGCTAAACCAAACAAACAAACAAACGATAAAAGAAAAACAATGAATACGACAAACGATCAAATTTTCTCGATAACTTTTTTTCCTTTTTTCCTTTATACTAATACCATCATTCGTCGAAACGTGGATGAGTGGTGGGAGAGGAGGGCGGAGGGAAGGGATGAAAAAAAATTATTAAGAAAATTTACGACGACCCTTAAACTTTTTCTCTCATTTCTCACATAAAAAAATAAGGAAAAAGTCGATACAAAAAATCTTCTGCTTTAAACTCACGCACTCGCGCACTTACTCACGCACACGCACGCACACGAAAAAAAAAAAAAGTCCCATAAATTTAAAAAAAAAAAAAAAAAAAAATTATAATAAATTTAAATGTCATTAAACTTTTTTTTTTTAATATTTTCAAAATGGCGTCACCGCTTTATTGAACTTATACGACTCATAAAAAAAAAAAAAAAAAAATCTGTTTTAATGCCCTTAAAAAAAAAAAACAAGTGCAGACGGTAGACAACGTGCTTGCTTCTTCTCCACCACCTCCTCCCCCTCATTCCTACCGTTAATAAGTAAAGCTTTTTTTTTTTTAACTAGCTGCATTTTTAACGTATTTAAAATTTTTTAATCTTTTAATCCCTCTTTCTCCTCCCCCTCCCTAAACAAAAAAATTATATAATAATAATAATAAAATTGTTTAGATTTATCTTTTGCCACATTTTTAAATAAAAATAACCGAGATGAAATTTGCGAGCATTTATTATTATTGCAAAAAAAAAAAAACAAAAAACAGGAATTTCTGATTCCGGAAATGAAAAGTTGATGACTCAACACAGGTAATAAAATATACCTGAGTTGACTTTACCGCCGAATGAAAATTTTCGCACGGTCGCAATAATTTTTTTCCCTTTTTTTTTTTTTTTCTTTTCCCGGATACTAATTATATTATTTAAAACTATTGCTTTTCTCATCTGGAGTGATCCACTCAACCGTTAAGAATGCCAACAATAACTCCCCATTTTTTTTTTGTCGAACTAATGACAAAAATTAACCGAATGAAAAAAAAAAAAAAAAAAACAAACGAAAAAAAAAAGAAAATCCGACGGGGATACCACACACTCGTATTTTTCCTTAAAACGATTCAAAATTCCGACAGTTTTTCGAAAAGTGAAAGAAAGAGAGAGAGAGAGAGAGAGAGAGGAAAAACTTTCCGAACGTGTGCATTTTCTTTAAAAAAAAAATTCAATTTTAATTTATTACCCTTTTCATCTGTTTAGTGTATGATGAAAATTTTTTCCCCTTCGGTTTTCCTTGGTAATGCTCCCAAAAAAAAAAAAATTACAACAACAGCAACAACAACAAAATACCAAAAAAAAAAAAAAAAAAAAGTTTTGAAACGGGGGGAATAAAAAAAAAAAAACTTTGGCGCACGATAACAAACAGCCTGAAGAAAGAGAGAGAGAGAGAAAAAATTCGTGTGAGATTTTTTAAAACTTTCCCCCTCACACACACACACTCCCTCTCCCCACCGAACGCGCTCAAAATATTTTTTGCTTTGCCGAAAAAGAAAACACGACCAATCAAAAATGATAAATAAAAAATGGAATTTCCCATTGGTCGATTTTGCGATTTTGGCGGAAAATTTAAAATGATTCAAAATCTTTTTTTTTACTCCCCCCCCCTTAAAAATTATTTATTCGTTTAAAAAAAAAATAAATTTTCAATTAAGGGTACGTTTTGTTATTCGTCATCAAAACAAAATTTTTGGCGCCATTTTTTTTCCTTTTTTTTAAATTTTCCTTTGTTGTCCTTTTAAATAGTGTAAACAACAAATTTCCGTTTAGTTAATTACGGAAAATTTTAATTTAATTTTAATTCGCACATCCAAAACTTATTAAAAAAAAAAAAAAAATTAATTTTATTAAAATGACGTCGTTTTTTTTTTTTCCTTTTTTTCCTTTTAAACGAAAAATAAAAAAAAATAAAAATAAAAACTTTTTTCAAGCAGGCACCTGACACGTTTTCTGTTTTTTTCCCCCTCCCCCATTTTTTTCTTCTTTTAATATTTCTCACAAATTTATAATAAATCAATGAGGAAAAAA